GCTGGGACTGCGCGGAGGCACGGCCGGGCCGGAATTGCATCCTCTCTGGCGGAGGCCGGAGGCCTGTGCGCACAGTGGGGAGGGCGGCGGGGCCCTGACGACCGGCCGTCTCTGGGCCGCGATACAGGCGCACTGCTGCGGACCCTGTCCGGGGCTCGAACGCTGCACCACCAGTCCGGCCTGCTGAAGTCGGCACGAGTGGGGTTGATGGTGGGCCGCGAGCTGGTCCGACGGCAGACTGGCCGGCGTCGAGACGGACATTTTGTCCGACTCCGTGGGCCGTTTCGTCTTGTGGCCGGGGCTGAAGAGCAGGTTGACGACGCCAAGTCGGCCCGGAGCGCCGGCCTCTTTGGCCGTTGAGACGGACGGACGAGCGGCGCTCATGCCTGCGCCCGCCTCGAGAGCGACGGAGCAGACTGCCACCGGCAAAAGTACATCTTCACGTTGGTCGAGTCGCGGCACGACGGGCGAGTTGACCGATCAACAAACCGCCATCATGAAGCCATTCCGACAGGCCTATCTAGGCCCACCGACTTGCCAGAGCAGTTGATGCGTCATCGCCTGCTGATTGGCTGGTCGGCCGGCCAATCAGAGGACGGACTGCACAGACCAGATGTCGACGACACGGCGATTGCCAGATAGGCTTGCGTTCAGACGAAGTGGCGTTAATTTGATTGGCTGATGCACAGACTGGCCAGAGCGCTGTCGACTCGCCAATTGGCGGACCGACTGACCGACTGACTGACTGACTGACTGACTGGCTGACCCGATTGTTTCGCGAGACGCTTATTTCATATTTGCCCCAAATTTAATTCACTTCTCGTCGGGTCCTCTCACCGCCGGCAGAGTGGGCGGGCGAGACAAAAACGCGACACAAAGCCGCACAATGCATCCTGTGAAGGGAATGCGTCAGCCAAACCGACAGTCACGACTGGGCGCAAAGGTTCCCATACAAGTGGTTTGACCTTGTCTTCACAATCCGGTCGACTAAAGCAAATTTTGTCGACT